ACTCGGAACCTCCGACAGCCGCAAAATACCTCATCGCGTATTTGGCTGACACCGTCTTACCCGCACCCGACTCCCCGCTGACGATAATGCTTAGGTTGCAGTTCTCACGCTCCAGTTTCGTGTACGCCTCCTCCGCCAGGGCAAAGATGTGCGGCTCCAGATCGCCCATAGCATGTCCCCGATACGCACGGATGATGCTGGGCCCGTAAAGGGGCATCTCCGCGTATGGGTTGATGGCCACCAGAATGATGCCGCAGTAGGTGTAGATAATCTGGCGCTCGCAGAAGCGGACGCGCAGATTGTGCAACACCCCCGGCTCATGCAGGTAGGACAAGGTGGTCAAGTCGTTCTGACCCACCAGAATGGCCGGATTGCGCAGTGGAGGCAGATCGCTGCCATCGGCCTTTAGCTTGACCTCCTTCAGTCTGCCAGACTCCGTGCATATCTTCAAGAACCCGGCGCCCTTGCGGTAGCTCTCCTCCAAGGTGGCGCTCTCCCACACCAGCTCCGCATGGGGCACCCAGATCTTGGCGCCCTGAAAAAGAAGTGAGCCTAATTAACAAGTGTCATGACTGGGAGTTAAGCCCAATCCCCATCAGAGACGTCACCCGGTCTGGTCTCTTATCAATCGAGCTTATCGAACAACTCATTCCCCTGCCGATTAGACACCCGCGAATATTGTACGTATATGAATCATTTTTAAAAGATTTTGGGTGCTGCGATGCAGTCATCAATGGCTAATAACCTGCCATGGAAACAAATCAGGGCCAAGAACTAGCAAATGGCCCGCACACTCACACAGTTCGGACGGGGAAATCACGTTATGGGTGCGATTTTATATTGGCACCATTTGCAGACGACACCGACACCGCCGCAATCTGCCACGATGCACTTGTAGGGCATCAATATATACTGTGAAATACCTGCGCGTATAGCATCTCCTCGCTTGACATGGTTCCACTGGCTCCTCCTCCAGCTCCGCTTCCGCTTCCACCTCCTTATTTCTCTACTCTCCTTCTTCCTACTCTGCGTGAGAGTTAGTTGGGTGCATAAATCCCGTTAGGTTTATTTTCCGTACTATTTTTTTTTTCAGGCCCTGAAAGCCCCTTTAAATAACCATTTTCGTGGTCTTATTTTTTGGTTTATTTAAATTTACTGTCCCAAAGTACTTAAAATTAACTGCAGAAATTTATAAAAACATTGATAATTTTCGGATCACAACGCCAAAGTGTGAAAAAAACAAACAAACTTCCGTCCCTGTCACCGACTGACTGACTTATGTTTTGTTGTTGGCAAAAGGGCAGGGTTGCCAAAGGGCGTGCAGTTTGGGACAGAAAACCAAAAAGAAATGCGTGGTTAGATCCACGGACTAAGATTGAATTAAATAAAATACCTTGAGAAAAGATTTCGTAAATGTACAGTAACTATATTTTTTATTGAAAATCCCAAAAACCCCTAAAAGCATTTGGCGCGCAATGCCCTGCAGCACGATTTTCAGCACTGCTTGACTAACTAGACGGTATTTTTCAACACTGCAGCTGGCATTTCCCGCCAATTTTTAGCTGGTCTGCCGCACCACTTCGTCAGAATTTCAGTCACAACAGCTACAGTTTTTGCCCAAGACGGATTAAATAAATATCTTCTCTAAGGAAATGTCAAGCCCCGCTCGTTCGCCCAGTGTTGGAGCTGCGACGCCCAAGCAAGGCGCCCGCACACCCACTAGAGGTTAGTATCCGCCTGGGACAGAAAGTCTGTTCTGTTTGTAAAGCAAGCGTCTCTTTGCTTGCTTACAGGCATTGCATCGCAAGATGTGGAGACACCAATGCGCATGGGTCCCGGGAGGGCTGTCCGGCCCTCGGACAACATCAGTTTGCCGCCCACCTCGCCGGGAAACGTCAGCTTGCCAGCCACCAGTCCGGCTCGAGGATTGGGTGCGAACATGAGCGAGATCGATCTGAGTTCGCCACTGAACTATGGCACTCCCAGCTCGATGGGTTCCATTCGCACCCCTCGTTCCGGAATTAGAGGCACTCCGCTTCGGGCTCGACCCGATATAAGAACAGACAAGCGCATCCGCCAGGTGGCCATTGGAGGGGGCTCAGGGGTAAGTGTAGCAAGCATGCAACTTATTTTAAAAACCTCAACTCACTTGCGCCCCTTTTACAGCTGGAACCCATTCCTGAGAAGGGCTCTGAAACCACTGATCCCGTCTCAGAATCCTCGCAAGCACCTCAGCTCGTCGTCTGGGGAACCAATGTGGTTGTCAGCCAGTGCAAATCCAAGTTCAAGTCGTTTATAATGCGCTTTATTGACCCAAGTGCCGAGCAGGACGAAATCTCGGAGAATATCGATGTTAACCAGCCGCTATATCTCCAGAAACTGGAAGAGATTCACACATTGGAGGAGCCCTATCTGAATCTCAACTGTGCCCATCTCAAGACCTTTGATCAGGACTTGTACCGCCAGTTGATCTGCTATCCGCAAGAGGTTATTCCTGGTTTTGATATGGCTATAAACGAGATGTTCTTTGAGAGATATCCAGCTGCACTTCTGGAACACCAGATTCAGGTGCGCCCCTTCAACGCTGATAAGACGCGTAATATGCGATCCCTAAATCCCGAGGATATGGACCAGTTGATCAGCATTAGTGGCATGGTCATTCGCTCGTCGAACGTCATTCCTGAGATGCGCGAAGCTTTTTTCAGCTGCAACATCTGTTCCTTCAGTACAACCGTCGAGGTGGACCGCGGTCGCATTAACCAGCCAACGCTCTGCACCAACTGCAACACGAACCACTGCTTCCGTTTAATCCACAATCGGTCGGAGTTTACAGATAAGCAACTTGTTAAACTCCAGGAGTCCCCAGATGACATGGCGGCTGGACAGACTCCGCATAATGTGCTTTTGTATGCTCACAATGATCTAGTGGACAAGGTGCAGCCGGGTGATCGCGTTACGGTCACAGGCATCTACCGGGCGACGCCACTGAAGACTGGAGGCCTCAGTTCGTCGGTAAAAAGCGTTTACAAGACGCACGTTGATGTGGTTCACTTCAGAAAGGTAGACAACAAGCGACTGTACGAGGAAGAGGAGGGGTAAGTCTAACATTCTATTACTAATTAGAATAAAATTTGCTAATTTTAAATACCTACCAGCAAGGATCACATCTTCCCTCCAGAGCGCGTTGAGCTGCTACAATTGTTGGCCAAAAAACCGGACATCTATGACCGCCTGGCCAGGGCCATTGCGCCATCTATTTACGAGAACGACGACATTAAGAAAGGCATCTTACTCCAGCTCTTTGGTGGCACTAAGAAGAAACATGCAACTCTCGGCCGTCAGAACTTCAGATCTGAAATTCACCTGCTGTTGTGCGGTGATCCAGGTACTTCCAAGTCGCAGATGCTGCAGTACGTCTACAACCTCGTGCCAAGATCTCAGTATACCTCGGGTCGCGGTTCGTCGGCTGTCGGTTTGACTGCCTATGTGACCAAAGATCCGGAGACTCGCCAGCTGGTTCTGCAAACGTAAATCTATAAACTTGATATCACATTTGAATTTAGGTTGTATATTATGGTATGTTTTCAGAGGTGCACTGGTTTTGGCCGATAATGGAGTATGCTGCATTGACGAGTTTGACAAAATGAACGACTCGACACGCAGTGTGCTCCACGAGGTGATGGAGCAGCAGACCTTGAGTATTGCCAAGGCGGGCATCATCTGTCAGCTAAACGCCAGGACCTCGATTCTTGCTGCCGCCAATCCCGCCGAGTCTCAGTGGAATAAGCGCAAGAATATCATTGATAATGTCCAGCTTCCGCACACCCTGCTGTCCCGCTTCGACCTAATCTTTCTGGTTCTGGATCCCCAGGATGAGATCTTTGATAAGCGACTTGCCAGCCATTTGGTATCTTTGTACTACGTGACCCGTCATGAGGAGGAGGATACCATGTTTGTAAGTAGCTTTTATCAATTCTAGTAAGTTTCCGGAATATCTCTGTAACATATTTAAAAAAATTTTAGGACATGAGCGTCCTGCGCGACTACATCGCCTATGCCCGAGAGCATCTGTCGCCTACGTTGTCGGATGAAGCGCAACAACGACTCATTCAGGCCTACGTGGACATGCGAAAGGTGGGCGCCGGTCGTGGTCAGATCTCTGCTTACCCGCGCCAGCTGGAGAGCCTTATTCGACTGTCGGAGGCGCACGCCAAGGTTCGGCTCAGCAACGAGGTGGAATTACTGGACGTGGAGGAGGCTTGGCGGCTTCATCGCGAGGCTCTCAAGCAGTCGGCCACGGATCCCTTATCCGGCAAAATCGATGTTGGCATTCTCACCACCGGTTTATCAACAGCCGCTCGTAAAAAGCGCGCCGATCTGGTGGCAGCCATCAAGGAAAACTTGAAAAAGAAGGGCAAAGTTCTTACTGTTCCCTATCAGAAACTGTTTAATGATATTAAGGAAGGATCCCAAATTGTTAGTGCTAACACATATTCATTAATAACCAAATTTCTATTAAACGATCTTTATTTCAGATGATCACACGCGAGCAATTCGAAGATGCCCTTAAAGAGGTGCAAGATGAAGGCGCAATTGTTGTCATGGGAAAGAATACCATTCGCATTTGTTAATTTTATTGTATTTATCTCATTTAAAACCAACAGCAAATACATTCATTCCTATTTTTAAACGCATCTTAAAAAATGTTCAATAAAAAATGTTCCAAATATTCATTTCTGTTTTTAAACCATTTTCCAACAATCTAGCATTCAAAACAAAAGTGTGAATGTATTTGTTACGATTTTGTTAGTTCCTACGTTTTAAAACCATTTAATTGGTTATTTATATAATATATATATAAATTATAAATTTATATTTGCATATAATTCCTTTACTTTTCTGCTGTAAAATACATATGTATATTGGCGTAAAAAAGTTTTTAGCTACCTGATATGTAAGAATAATTTATTTTTATTTAAAAAGAACATTTATAAACAAATTTTACAAATGCTGAACAACTAAATCTTCAAATTCGAGTAATTAATTAACTATCGCTGTAGGTAATGCAGCATTTCTTCACTTTAAACAAAAACGAAATTACAAAATTTTAGAATGCCCTAACTAATAAAGGAATACCCCAAGTAGTGCCGTTTTTTAGCGCATTTGCGCAGGCGAAGTGCAGATATTTTGGCGCTCTAGCCGCTGCCACACTGTGTGTACGGAAAATGATGGAGTTCGGGAAATCGTCGGAGCACTCCCAGCACAGCGCCTCCGAGGCGTCGGCGGACTCCGGCAGTCTGGCCAACAGCGACCTGGCCGTCACGCCCACCAAGCGGGAGCGCCGTAAGTCGCCGGCCACAAGTTCGGACAACACCAGCACCAGTGTCCAACCGCCCATGTCGCCGTCCTCCTCGGTGGCGGACACCACCTTTGAGCCCACCATCGACATGATGGTCAACGACTTTGACGACGAGGCCACGCTGAACGAGGAGGAGGCTCTGGCGGACATGGAGGCGCACAGCGCCGAGGACGAGATCGCCACGCTGCGCGAGGAAAGCGAGATGCCCATCGAGGAGCTGCTGGCCAAATATGGCGGCACAGCGGCTTCCCCTGCTGTGAGTAGCTCGAACCGTTCCGGCAGCAGTTCACGACGAGCACGTAGAGCCACTAAGCGCCAGTATCAGGAACTGGACACGGAGATGGCTCACACGTCGACCTCCACTTCGAGCAGCGCATCACAACTGGAAAAACACGACAGCATAGACCAGGATGAATCCAAGGAGGTGTCGGATAAGCTAGCATCACTCCCGGAATCAGGAGAAGTTTCGTCCATGGACAGGGAGTCGCCAAAGTATGAGGGGATCAAGAAGCAGCATCGCTCGCATTTGCTGGACCTGTATCCAGATGAATCCTTTGTCGATCTGGCGCCCACATGTGCAGAGGAGACGGAAAGATGTACGTTTAAAACTAAAACGTGACTGAATCTAATTAACACTCCAATTATGTAACCCTTTTATAGTCACTCCACTGCAAACGCTGTTCGATGAAGTGGAGGCCGAGGAGGAGGAGGAAAGCGAATCCGAGTTGGACGATGCCCGTAAGATAATAATGGTGGGCCACGACTATCAGGCTGAGATTCCGGAGGGGCTCTCGCAATATGGCGACATATTGCCATATGAGAACGAGGATCAGTTGATCTGGGAGCCCAGCCAAGTCAGCGAGCGCGAGGTGGAGGAATATCTGGCCAAGATTCAAGAAACCAGACCCATAGTTCCGCCGGAGGATGGGGCAGAGACTGGGGCGGGTGAAGAAGGTGCTGCTACAGGTGTTACTGCTGAACCGCCGGCTCCTACTACAGCTCCAGCCACGCCTCCAAGGGCTCCACCTGCGTCAAGTGCCGCTGGCGATCAGGAGCTGGTGGTAAAGGACAACGAGCAGGCGCTCCATCTGCTAGTCCAGTGCGGCTACGACTTCAAAGAAGCCTTACGACGCAAGCGCATGAACGTCCTGCCCCTCACTGATACTATGAGCAGCTGGTCCGAGGACGAGTGTTTAAAGTTCGAGGAGGGCATTCAGCGGTTCGGCAAGGACTTCTATCAGATACGTCAAAATCAGGTAAAGGAGCGTCCATTGCCTGCGGATCGCCCTAGCAAGTAATCTATGGGCTCGTTGGGCTCTTTCAGGTGCGCACTAGAACCATGCGCGAGCTGGTCCATTTCTACTATCTGTGGAAGAAGAGTGAGCGCCGGGATCAGAGCTTAGCTTTAAACGACACCATTGATCACATGGACGTCTTCATCAACGAGGCGTGTGCTAGCAACGGAAGTGGTAATGGAAATGGTGCTGGGATCGTATCAGGAATCGCTAACAGCAATGGTAGCTGCTCACCGCATAGCAGCAATGGTCACAGCAATGGGGATTTGTCTGTCCTGGAAAAGGATACCGTCGCCAGTCCAAGAAAGCCCGCCAATAAGAGCTATTCTATTATGACCGGGAGTCAGGCTGCAGGTAATCCAACCGGGGGAAACCGAAAGCGGTGTACGTCCGCATCTGTGCCCCTGGAAGATGAGGACAACAACATCGAGGAAGAACCGAGTCTGTCCGCTGTTTAAGCGACACCTCCATCACCATCATCATTATCATAACCGAGCGCAGGCGCTTTCGATTCGGTTGGGCCAAGCAAAGTATTAGCAGGGCGCTTCATTACCTTTACCACTCACTATAAATATGCATACTGTACGTGTAGTATATACCTTATGTCTAATCATATATATTCCAGATTCTTAAATCGACATCTCTCATACACCGTAAAGAATTTCTCTATTGTTAAGTGTGCGATTCGTCTATTTGTTACATGTGCGTGTGAATTTCGGAACCAAGTACTTACCGCTTATATATACAATATATTTTCGCTCAATCCTTGAGTTTCGTTGAATGTCAATAAATGTAATATGTATGTATATCTGTAAAGTCAGTTCTCGATCGTGTTTTCTCAAGATTTGACATAGCTTTTTAAACGGCAATAATTTTCACGAATTCTACAATTTTTAATTTACGACAAAGTGAAAAGTTAATGAACGAACAGAACGGATTCTGAGCATGATAGGCAAAGGTAAGATACGCTACAAATCGCTAAAAAGTGTGGCCTATAGGAAAGTTTGGGGACAAATTTTTTAAAATATATAGGTATGTACATACATACCAATATACTGATACCAATACTTTTTATATGCACTTTTTTTTTAAATTTAAATAACGTCAAAACAAAGGCAAAAGAAATATGCGTCATATTAATATTAGATTAAGCCTAGTCTTCTTTTCCATGAATACCATTATCTATACAGGAAACAATATTTTAACGACATATAGCCAAAACATACATAATTATATAATTACCCCTTATTTCATGACAAAAAAAGGCCTAAAAAAAACCTAAAAAGCTCTACATTAGTCTAATAATATCGCTATTTACAAGACAAGCTGAAGGATTTTACATCATCATCTCAACGAAAGATGAATTACATATGTACATATGTAGCCGAATCAAACTCCGTATTCCTTAAAAGTTAACCGGATCGGAAACAAAGAACCGGTCCGTATACATATACATACCTCGTACACATAGATACATACATAGGTGTGCCTGTATCTTTTCCCCCGTTTTCTTTGCAAGACGTTCTTGAAAATGGCCAATTACGGTGTTGGATTCCCATTTATTGGCCTGCTGTCCGTCCACGTATGTGCATATGTATGTACATACATTCGAATGTGTTTGTATATTTTTCGCATTGTGGGTTGGAAGACGAGTATAAATTGCGGCGAGGATCAAATGTCAGGCTGAAACCCAACCGCAAAGCTACAGAAGATCTGATAAATAACCCCGGTCGCCACTTGTCGTGTCTGCTTCACTTGCATTTTCGCAGTCCCAAGAAGAGGAGACTCAACCCGAAACGTGCAAGCATATATGTATGCATGTATATACATACATATTTACGCATGTACACACATACAGACAACGGATACAGTCTTCGGTTCCAGGCTCACGATCGTTCCAGCTGGAGCTTTTGTTCCCACACACCCTCGTCTCTATGTATGTACGCTGTGACGGTGGCTCCACTGGCGTGGCGTGAATTTTGTACGTTCACTCCAGCTCCATTTCCAAGCGGCCCAGCCAGCCGACCGTAGTAAAATCCAGTTTTGATAAAAATAAACAAAGTACCCTACACCGCTCTCTATACGCTACACTATGAATTTTCAGTGTTCGCGGCCGGGTCACCTGGAAAAGGATCTCCTATTCGCGGAACGAGGGGGAGGGGCATAGAGCTCTCTGGAAAGACCTTCCCGCCAGAGCGTGACATGTCCGCTCAAGTCGCTGTACGGCTGGAATGCTATTGCAATAGCAGCTTTTCGGTGCAGAGCATATTGGATTCGTTACGGTGGGCCCACAACGGCGAAGTTAACAACCGTAAAAAGCGCAAATACGACACAGAGTTGCGGCCAGCGCAGCGGAAGCTTAACATCCGGATAATATTGTCAGTTGTTGCTCTGCCGCCTCGCCTGCGCCTTCTTCTTCTCCTGCGCCTTCTTCTTCTTCCTGCTTCTTCTTCCTCTTCTTGGTCTTCAGTTCGTGGCAAAGCCTGTTGCTCAAGCGTCTCTCCTCCTTCCCGATCCCGCTGCTCCGCCTTCGCCATCGCCTTTGCCGTCGCAACCAGCTCCGTCCGCTCTTTCCACGATTCTCTCTCAGCACCGCCAAAAGGCACGTAAACTGGTTGTTGCTGGCTGGGCCGTACACTTTGTGGTGCCCGTATTTTTCGTATTTTCAGTGCTGGCTGAACGCTTGAGCTGCGCGAGTCGCTTGCCGGGAAACTCGGAATCGGAACTGGATCTGGCTAACTAGCTATCTGGCTATCGGAAATTGGCCACACGGATCTGGACATGGAGATGGCCTACAATGCGTCATCGTCGGCGGCCTCCGTTGGCTCTGCCTCTGCCGCCGCCTCTGCCTCCGCCTCCTTCGCCTTCACCAATACTGCCAAGCTACCCATCGAAACGGTGAAGCGCCTGATTGCCGCCGTTTCACGACGTCCGATGTTGTGGCTGCGCAACAATGCCAATGGCCAGAAGCGCAGCGACATCACGCCCGTTTGGTTCGAGGTGGGTCAGGATGTGAATCTGCCAGGTAAGTGTATGCCTGACTATTGCTTCTCTGCGCTCCCCGCTAAAATGATTCCCCTCCACAGCCGACATCTGCCGCATTAAGTGGGGCCACCTGAGGGACAACTTTCGCAAGGTGTACATCCGCAATAACCTGTCTAATGAGACGCCCTCGTCGTGGCGCTTCTACAACGACATGCGGTTCATGGAGCCCGCCGTTCACGAGAATATCATGCGTCAGACGCGGAGCAGCAGCAAGAAGCACCCACCGGGACACTGGACGGAGAACAATAATGTGCTGGGGCCGGACAAGTATGACTCAATGCCCATTGTAGCCACGGAGCCTATCTGCGAGCTCAGCCACAGCTATGACTCGGAGCTACACCAGCCCAGCTTCTCGGACATCAGCTCGTTCTTCGAGGATCGCGAATGCCAGCCGCCGGAGAATAAGAGGTTTAAGTCGGAGCCCAGTCAGAGGGAGGAGGACGAGGAGGATGATGATGACTTCGACGAGGATGCCGCCTCGGAGAACTTGGAGGAGGAACGAGGCAATCGTGCCGATGCTGCCAGTTCCGGTGTATTCACCATAGAAGTACTGGATGACGACGACGAAATGGAGCAGGCGGTGACCAAAGCCAAGGCGAACAACACCAGCCACGGATCCAGCCTGAAGAGCGAGCAGGAGGCCAAGGTGTTCTCCAACTCACAGTCACCCTCGGCCGATCTGCCCTTCAAGTACATCAGCACGGATGCGGCCACGAATACGGACCCCTCGGGGGGAGACCTCCAGGACGAGGCGGATCGCATGTTCCTGCTCAGTCTGATGCCCTTCTTGCAGAGATTGGACAGCCGTCGGCGTCTGCGCGTGCGCCAGAAATTGCAGAACGTGCTCATCGAGGAGCTGGAGTTCGGCTGAAGACGCGAATGCCCGGGGGGATGTGGGGAGAAGTACTTTATAAGCCTAGCTTACAGTATTATAAGAACGCGACTGACTAACTCTGTGAATCTGCCTACATACGTAGCATGTAATCAGTATTCCGGCCTGCTTTCCTTCGTACCAGCACACTTCAATACATACCATATTGCATTACAATACATATAAACACTTCAAATAGTCGATCACGCCAGCATGATTACTTGTTTCTTCCTCAGGATAACCGCTCACTTTTACCTGTATCTGCGTTCCGGTGCACCTGCGTCTTTTACCTGCGCACGCCGCCCGCAGTTCGAGTTCCCAATTATCCACGGCCACGGCTGTTGCAATTGCATTTTTCCAGCCACTGGCGGCTCGAAATTTCTGTCAGTGCAAAACAAGTTCCTTAAGGGTGGTGCTCGCGGCAACAGCAACAACAAGCACTCCGCAGTGCAAAAACAACAACAACCACAAGGTGATTCCATCCGCATTTTCGCGCCACATGCGCCGTTAATGCTAATGTTCCGTGCTCTCGCTCGCTCATTCCCGCTCACCAATCTCAATTGGGAGTAGGGAATTCCCTATTGGTATGCGGTGTTTTTCGCTTGAAAATTTCTCCATGTTTTGAAAATGAATTAAGGGCTTTCGTTGATATTGCTTAATAGTTTTGCCATTTGTTCAATACGTTCCAATTGGAAGTGGGATTTCATTTCTAATACTTTCGCTAAAAGCATGCTTATCTTCTATATACATACATATAAAGGGTTTGAAATTCAGACAGTAAATTAAATTCTTAATTATTTATTCATTTAACTAAAAGAGCTTAATGCTGTTTTATATTTGTCTCTTCGGAAGTCACCAAGCCAGTGTTCATTTAACTTAATCTTTTAGAATTCCAATAAGGGTTTTCTATTTAATTTGAGCAAAATAAATTTCCTGCGATAAGCTTCACAAATGTATTAATTTATTTTATAATTAAATGTATATAATATATAAAGTATATAAATAAACATCATTATTTTTATTTCAAACACTATGTGGTAAAAAAAATTTAAATATAACAGAAACATATATATGCGACTATCGAAAACTAAACCTCGAATTCGGCTATGCCCAATACCCTTAACGAACAGGGGCGCGAATAACAAAAACAACAAAAGCCAGCGTCGAATCAAGAAAAAGAGAGAGAAAGGGCAGAAAAGAAGAGGAAGAGTCGGCAGCAGCGCCGAGCGCATGAACGTGAGTTTTGCAGTTTGATGGTTAAATGCGTGCGTGAAGGTTGGAGTGAAGATTTGAGCCGAATTCGAGTCCTAGTCTCCGCCGCAATAAGTGGGTCAGAATTGGAGCCGTTCGATTGGGACACACAAAAAGCTGGGCGCCACCGCAGAGTGCAGCTAAACACGCCGCCAAAGTAATTGGAAGAAGAAGCAGCGCACAATAGGAATAATTGTTCATGGCTTTTTTCGCTTGCAGGAGAAGAAGTGCACGAGGGTGGTACCACGGGTAAATGAGATTCTGCCGAAAACGCTTGGAAAATGTAAACAATTTGTAAACACAGCGACGATAAGTTATTTCCAAAGTGTTTGTCAGCTTTTTACATCGATTAAACACTCGCATAATAAAGGAAGAACTGACGATGAAATCGAATTAAAGCAGAGTGACGATTATGGGATACCCTAGGACCGCGTAGAGTGAATGAATTTGACAAGTGAGTGAAAAAACAATGGTGCACGGATTAAGTTTGTGTTATATACATATGTATATGTAGATTAAGATTTATTTATTACGTTGGATGGGGGAAATATTAGCTGCGTAATCCGCGTCCTTGTCGGGCAACCCATACGACCCTGATACCCTGCACCGAATCGGACGCCATTATCCTATTAGCCGTTATGCCCCATCAAACGATTTGATTGTTTGAGGTTAGTAACAGTACATATAACCAAACTTCTGCGTCGACCCTCTGTATTAAATGCAGTTCTTTGCGGCATAAGTGAAAATAAATAGAAGATAAAAATGTGCATGTGAGCCTCCCGTGCATGAGTGTGCTTGTGTCCGTGCGCCCCT